AAATTAAACCCAGACTAGAACAGCGAAATCCTTCGGATCTCTCCAGAAGAGACGAAGTCATTTTTACTCGATTGCGCATCGGACACACGGCCCTGACTCACAAATACCTCCTACAGGGAGAGGAGAAGCCGTTCTGTGTCGGATGCGACACAGATTTTACCATTAGACACATTTTAACAGAATGTCTAGACTTTGGAGAGATCCGAAGGAAATATTATAAATGCAAGAAATTGCAGGATATTTTCTCCGTCGTTGTTCCCAGCAGAATTTTAAATTTTATAAAGGCCATTGGCCTTTATGGCGAGTTGTAAAGTGAATCTGATATTATTTAAAATTTTTATTGTTACTTAAAAGTTGTTTTAGATCACAAATGTATTTACACCGAATTTGAATATTTTAACTTTTTAGCATTTTAAAGTAAACTAGTTACCAGTCGTGAAGTGAACTTTCGCAGAGGTGAACAACTTGTGTTTCGCGCGCTCATATGACCTTAGCAGTTGCGAGCGCCGTAAAACCTTATACTATACTATACTATACACTCAATTTTTAGCGTTTTAACAATTTTAATTAGAAATTTTGACCAGAATCAGGCCGAGCAGTGAGCTATTGAGAAAAAAAAACCCAACTTGTTTTGCGCGCTCATATGACCTTATGCAGTTACGAGCGCCGTAAAACCCCGTACTAAACTGAAGTAAAATTTGACAAGGCATGCTTCCAGGTAATTGGAGAATGGGACTTGTAGAGTCTACTTCTTGACTACCTCTTTTGTTTTCTGTCCATGTCCGTCTTGCCTTTTCCTTGGTATGAATTGGCAAATGGATGGAGGGCGCCAGTGGCACGTCCTACTGCATCATTTGTGTCCTTTCTGTACTTTTCTTTTCGTTGCACTAAATGGCCACTATTGTACCTATGTGATTCTCTTACAGTGGATGATTTATTGTAGCGATCCTGTGAATGCACCAAAAGAGCAGGTTTTATCATGTAGAGCCCAAAAAGACAAACTTTTAAAATGATCCTTTGGGAAAGTACTTTTGTTGGTGGCTGGCCGACAGGAGTGCCATGAAAAGTTGCATGCAATCGGCATATTAATGAATGATGAATGAGCCAGTTTTTTTTTCGAAGGCAGACAGATGAAAGTGAACAAGCTATTACAAAACTACCTCCTCAGGACCGTTTTGTGGAGGTGATGCAGAACCAGGAGTTTGTCTTGTTGCCCTGTGACGAAGTCTGTAAGCTCCTGGCCAGTGATGACCTGAATGTTCCCAACGAGGAGACCATCTTTGAGGCAGTATTGCGTTGGGCACGTAATGACCTGCCCACCAGGAAAAAGCTGCTCTCTATGCTGCTGTCGCATATCAAGCTGCCCCTGATGGCCCCTCAGGTGGGTTCTCGGAGGAAATAGGGATGGAAAGAAGAATGTAAAGGCTGAAAACAGTGGATTTTGAAATTTCTAAATTTGTTTTGTGGGGAAATTCTTATTGAAGTGGTACTGTACGTTCAGCAGTGAATCTATATCATATACATACATACATACATACATACATACTCTCTCTCTCTCTCTCTCTCTCTCTCTCTCTCTCTCTCTCTCTCTTTTCTCCTCTTTCTGTCTGTGTGTGTGTATACTTGTATATA